ACTTGAGCTCACTTGGTATGGAGTGAGCTGGTTTCCTGATTAGGAAGTGGCTCACTTGGGCTCACTCGCTGTCGCGTGAGCTATCCTATGATTGGTCCTTCGGCCCATCATAGTTCCGTGGTGCCTACCCTGTAGGCCTGCTGTTGCGACCATAAATGTGTTGGCTCGTAACATTATAGAAGTAGTCTCTAGGTAATCTAACATAGCCCTATATAGGCTCCTTAGGATAAAGTAGGAGTTAGCCCTAATATTTTATCTACTACCGCTAAATTATTTAAGAAAAGCAGAATCTCTTAAATATCCGGGTTTATAAAGGTACGTATCCTAGTTAGCTTTATAGCTTTAAAAGTACCTACCGCCTTAGCATTATAGACCTCTATATTAGCAAAAGGGCCGTATACTATAGTTCTCTTAAAATTATAATATATAACAGCTCCCTAGCTGATATTACCTTATTTATTCTATAACCTATTTAAGTAAGTAAGAAGGGTAGACCTAGGGAGGCCGTTAAGTAGTTCTAGGTATTTCTCCGCTACCTTTAACTTTAGTAAGCCTCTAAAGTCTAGGCCTACTTAAACTACTCCGTTATTCTTAGTAAATAAGGAAGGTTAAACTATTTTCCCTACTAAGGCTGCAGTACATTACAGTTAGGTAGGGGAAACCCTAGGAAGGAGTTTTTTATTAATATATTTACTAATCAGGTAGTTTTTATCTAGCCCTGTAAAGCAAGCTGCTGTACGGAATCTAGTCTATACTATTTATACTAATACTAAAGGGACTCCTAATTCTTTATATATAATAAAAAGGTTGGTTATCCTTTATACAGGGACGACTGCTCTAGCTACTGCTTTAAATAAGGGTTTTAGGATTACGGTTAGTTCCGTTAAGCCTGTTCCCACTTATCTATTCGGGTTCGTCGCGCTTTATCTACTTTTACCAGGCCAAAAAGCCTCCATCCTATATAAGGCTACAGGGGCAACGCAGGCTTTAGCTACTATAACTACTACATCTAGCGAAGATCTTTTTTATATTTTATTTAAAGATCTTAGGAAGTTAGCTGCTTTAAGGGCTTTTCCCTTTATAATCCTAAGATATTTTTTAAAGAAGAGCTATAAGTTTAAGTATATTCCTAGCTAGCGGACTAAGTCCTAGGGGGCTATAGTCTTTCCTCTAAAGTCTACTCCCTCGTTATATACTTAGGATTTAGTCTTATAAAAGTATATAAGTTTAGCCTTATTTAAGTTAAAGGAAACTGCATTCCTATTACCCTAGTTTAAGGTATTTTTTAATTCCTACTAAAGCTTCTAAATAGTTTCCTTAGTATTAGCCCCTACTACTATAATACTAATATTATTTATATATCTAAAGTAAGTATTAAGGTTATTAAGCTTTAAGCTAGGGGAGAAGTAAAGTATAAAGATAATAAAGGAGATAAGGGACCCCTATAGGGCTTTGTATTCCAGCTCCGTTTCCAAAAGGGTAGTCCTATAGCCGTTTTAAATAAAAGCCTTACGGTTACTTATAAAGGAGTTAACCTATTTTATAAAAAGGGAGGGCTATCTTTATTTCCTAAGTTTATATACTAGGCAGTTATATATAATAATATTAAATATACCTAAGATATTAAGTATAAAAAGAAAGATAATAAGGCCTTAGGCTAGGTTAACTTTAGCGTTATATAGCAGGTAGGTAACTAAGTCTATTGCAGACCTTTTTAAAAAAGCCCCGAAATATTATTCTAGTAGTATTTTATATTCTATCGCTAAGAGGGAGACTTTTTTAGCTAGGAGTCTTTTAAGGCCTTTACCTATATAAAAAAGCAGGGAAATAGGTCTATAGCCTTTATATATAATATATACCTTCTCCAGCTTCCTAGGTTTAGGAATAATAGTAATCTCTATACTCTAGAAGAGGAGTAGGTAGTATTTTATTATTAGGTATCTGTAAAAGAGATTAGTTATATACTTACTAATAGTAAACTAGGTAAGCTATAGGAGAGTAACGGAGATACTGTCTACGCTAGGCGTAGTATTTCCTAACCCTGTTATAGCTTTCTTAGCCTTTGATTTTAATACTATTTAATCTTAGTAGATGTTTTTATTAACGGGAAAATCCTTTTCCCATAGGTTTAAGATATCCTCTTCTATTATCTTATACTTAAGAAGTTTATCTTTAAGGAAAGTCGCTCTCTCCGTAAGGTCTAAGATACTTTTATCCCTATTTATTAAGGAAGGCAGTTAAAAGCAGTCCGTCGCCTTACGCTATTTAGCTACTAACTAAATATTCCTAGTAACGCTAGCTTCCGCTATAATCTCGTCCTAGTAGGCTTACTTACTACAGCGTATAGTATCTCTAAGGGTCTTACAGGCTCTTTCTTAGGCAGGGGAGCCGTCTGCCGCTTCTTTATAGGCCTTATGGGCTGCTTTACACTTTTCCAACTACTATAGTATACTATAGCCGTTCTAGTATCTAGTCTTACCAGCCCCCTCTATAGCTTATTAGAAGAAGTCCTGTAGGGCCTTAGCGCATTCGTTAAGGTTAATTTCTAACAGTATAGTTAGGTTAACCGTAGGGAGGGTCTAAGTAAAGGAGCGTATAAGTTAGCCGAAGTCTTCCTAGTATTCTAATAGGATATATTTTTTCCCTGCCCCTAGGGTTATCTTAAGGGGCTTAGGTAGGTTTGTAATTACTATATAGTAGTCCGACCTTATATTAAAGAAGTATTTAACCTTAGTTAACGTAGGGTAGTTTATAAAGACTAGGTTAATGTATTTTCCTAAGTGTTAGGTAGGTATATTTATTAAAGCTGGGAGGAGATTATACTTCTCCGCCTATTCCGTAATTTTATTACCTACTAGGTCCACGCCCTTATCTAGTTCCTAAAGTTAATATAAGGCGTTAAAGTCACCTGTAATAATTAAGTAAGGGGGGGAGGACCCTATTTAGTAAGGGTCTTTATAGCTAAGTCTACTAAAGCCCTTTAGTAAACGTTAATAATAATATAACTATATACCTTTATTTAATATACATATTCGTCTTCTAAGCCTAGGGGAAAGAGTTATTTACTAAGGAAGTTTAAAGAGATTTTAATAAATATAAAAACTAAAGGTCTAGTATTTTTTTAACTATTTAAGGGATTATATACTTAATATCTAGGATAATTCTTAGTTTACCTTCTGTTTAATACCCTATCCTATTAAGCGTAGGGTTCCTAAATTAGTATAATATTATAGCTACTTTCCTATACTAGTAATAAAGCAATATCCTAGTATAGACTGCTCCTCCTAACGTTAGCTTAAAAGATTTTAAAGCTAGTATTTCTTCGGCAGCTGTAATAGGGCCTATTATTTATAAGCTTACGTTAAAAGGTCCGTCAGTTCTAAGGGGGGCATTAAATATATTTTTATTACCTTTAGCTTCTTCCTCTTCGTCGTCTAGGCCGGCTATGTAAACGGCCGACCTAGCAGGGGAGGTTCCCTCGTAAAGATCTTCCTTATTTAAGTCGACTTTAATAATAACCTTTTTAGCTGGAGCCTAAGGGGGGAAAGGTAAAGCTAAACTAGAGATTAACAGCCTTATACAGGGGCCCATTCAAGTCTCCGGGTTAGACGTTTTCTTAATATTAGGGGCCAAGGCAGGGGCAGGTTTAGGTTTAGGTAGGTTAACTTTATTATATTCCTACTAGCCTAATTCCTAGATTACCTAAAGTTAGGCTTTAGTTATTTATACTTTTTCCTTATTCTTAACGACCGGTTTAGTAAAGTACTTTAGAAAGTCCGCCGTATAAGGGCCATTGCAGTTAGTATACTAAGGCAGGGACAAGCAGTTAGCCGTAGTATTATTATATCTAAAAAACAGTTTACCATATTTATAGCACCTTTTAGTCTTAGTATAATTCCGTAGGTTATAAAATCTAAAGCACTACAGGCACTAGGTAACCCAAGGGGGCTAGACCCGGATTTCCACCAGGAGGGAGCTGCTAAAGAATTTAAAGCCAGGTTTAACGTCCTTATTAAAGTTAATATAGTATTATAAGTAAGTCTTAATAATTTAGTTAATTTATTCTATTTATTTATCTATCTAGGGGTAGTAAGTTATACGAGCTTTATATTTTAGTTTAATTTATACTATAAGTAATTGCTAAAATTTTAATATAAACGTTAATCCTTTATTAAAAATAATCTTATTTAACAGTCTATAGTTTATATAAATATATTAGAAAAATATATAAGCTAAGTTTTCTACAGAGCTTTATTCCTTTATTAAGATAAAGTAAGCTATTTTCAAAAGTTAATTAACTACTATAAAAATACTATCCTAAGTATTATTAATTATAGGTTCTTTAAAGGTAAAAGCTTTATAATATAGTTAAATATTATTAATTCCTAATTTTTAACTAAAACTAATAAAAGTTATAGTTTTTTATAAGGAAGATAGTGTAATACCTTAGCTTATCTATATATTATATATTTTAATATAACCTTCTATACTTATTTTTTAATACTTTTAAATTTAAAGTATTATATAATTTACTATATAATATTTTTAATTCTATAGTGTTTATTAAGCTTATATACATAAACTAATTTTATTACTTTACTATATAAGTTTATTAATACTTAGATAAGTCTATTTAATATTAAGTATCTAGTATTTATAAAAATAACTTCTAAGTATTATTTATTTTCCTAGTTCTTAATATATTTCTTTATATTATTAATAATTAAATTATCTATTTTAATTTAATATACTATATTAATTAATTAAATTACTAAGTCTTTATACTAGTTTTTTTTTAGTATTTATACTTTAACTTCTAAGATTTCTTAAAAGTAATTTAGGCGTCTACTAAGTATATTAGCTTATTTATTATTTATTCCGCTATAATACTTAATAATAAACTTAAATTTAGAAAGTTGCTTATAATACTTAACTTATTTATAAAATAGTTTTTATATTATTATAAAGTAAGTAATATTCTAATAATTTATAAGGATTATTATTAAAAATTAACTTCCTTTATAATAGTATCTTTAATACTACTTACTAAGCGCTTAGTATATAGTTAGAAATTCCTTATTATAAATAAAATATTTAAGTTTTAATCTATATAGTTTTTTAAAAAAGTAGGTAATAGGTCTAAGTCTCTTTTTCTTTATATTATCTAATTAACTAAATACTCTACTAATTATATAATCTAAGGTATTAGTTTTAATTATAATAGATTTATTTAGGTTAAATATTATAAATACTAGTGTATTTATAAAGGCTTATTTAAGGTAGTTAAAGGTTATTTAAGTATTTTATATAAGTTTAAATTTAATATCTTTTTTTATTAAATTTATTAATAATATAGTAATTTTTAAAAAGTCTTTAATAAAATATTAATAATAATTAATAAGTTTTAAAAAGCTTTATACTTACTTAATGTTCTTAAGCAGCTTTTAATTATTAATTACCTTAAGTTTCTTAGGGTTTATTTAAATCCTTCCTAGGGTAATAATATATCCTAAGAATATAACCTTTTATATATAAAAGTTATATTTCTTAAGTTCTACTAGGAGTTTATTATTTTAAAGTATTTATAATACTTTCTTAATATATTCCTTATATTTTTCTAAATTCTTAAAGTAAATAAGGGTATTATAAAAGTATATAATAATAAAATAATCTATATAATCTTATAGTATATAATTAATTATTTTCTAAAAGGTTACTAAGGTATTTATAAATCCAAAAGGTATTACTTAGTATTTATAAAGTCTATATTTTATACAGAAGGCAGTTTTCTATTTATTGCCCTTTTTAATTTAAATAAGGTTATATACTCCTTTAAAATTTAATAAAGTAAAGTTTTTAGCTTCTATAAGCTAGTCTTTAATTTTAGAAATTAATAATAGTAGTATAATATTCTTTTTAGTTATTATATTTAATTATTAATAATTTATAATAAGTTAAAGTTTACTATTTTTCTTAAGTATAAATATAACTAAATATTTTACTAAGGATTTAAAAAGTTTAATATATCCTTTCTTTAGCTAGTCCCTAATTTATTTATTAAGTATCTTAAGTTTAGTAATACTAAGGTTATAGATCTTATTAAATATTAATACTTTATTATTTATAAGTTTAATCTTATAATCCTATTAGCTATATTTTAGTAATTTAGTATTTAGTTTTTTATTAAAGACTAATATATACTAAAAGTCTATTAGTATATTTTTTAAATATTTTAGTATTTAGTCTTAGTAGTATAGTTCTTTAACCTTTTATATAATTAAGTTAAAAAATCTAAGTTATTTCTTCTTTAGTTTTTTAAGGTATTTAATTATCCTTAGGAGTTTCTTTAGCTCCTTAAATTAAACTTTTTTTATAACTTTTCTTTTTTTTTATATATTTTTTTATTTCTTTATATAATATAGGGGCTTTTAATCCTATCGTTAGAAATATTATAGCATCTTATTAATCCTCCTAATTTAATTATAGTATTTTTTTAAAATTAATTAGTTTAGGGTAAGTTTATTATTTTACTTAACCTTTAATTTAGTTAATATTAGAGTTATATAACTTAAGCTAATTATATTTTAAAAGTATATTATATTCTATAATATTTATAATATTAAAATTAAAAATATTTTTAATTTTACTAAACTAAATTATAAAGAGATTAGTTTTATAATTAATAATTTTATTATTATAAATAAATTATTATTTCTTAATACTTATAAAAGTATATAGTTTCTCCTTTTTATAATAATTTAACTATAGGCAGTTAATTAATTAAGGCGTAATATAGTTTATTATAGCTCCTAAGTCTATATAAATATTATAATCTAACCTCTTATAGGTATTAAATGGGCCTATAGGGTAGGATATGGATTAATAAAGGACCGTA